AAAAAACCTAAACAAAGAGCGTTCTTCTTATTCAATGATATTCTCGTGTACGGACGTGTTGTTATCAGTGGACGTAGAGTAAAAGAACAAGTTTTATGTTTAACAAAAGATGTCATTCTATTATTATTTTATTTAGTATTCACAACAAAAAATTATTCCACTTAATGAAATACAAATCGGTGCTCCTATTGATTCAGCAGGTATATAGATAGACAAACATATATGAAATAAATTCTATTTTATTTAAATAGAAAATCCATATGCATGGTTAATAAGTAGTCCAAAAAAATCTTTTATTGTCCGAGCAAATTCAGATCGTGAACGACAAGAATGGCTTACACATCTTGATCGTTGTATTCGTTATGCTTCTGGTATGTATAAATTTATTTTAAAGTTCTTATGATATAGTAATTTATTAAGGAGGTGCTAATACACAAAATAATGCGGTCGCTGCACATTGGATACCTGATGATAAAGCTGATACATGTATGCATTGTCGTACATCGAAATTTTCAGCATATAATCGTAAACATGTGAGTAATTGAATGATTTGAAAATCCTTAAACTTAAGCTACGAGAAATTTATTGAACATGATAATAGGTATGTGACAACTCCAGTTTCGCTCAATGAATTGGAACAGTTCTTGTTCAGTTGAGCTGGAGATGGCGACCAGTTCATTTTATTCATATATTAATCATTATATTACATAAAACGTTTGGAAAGAATTACTTTAAGCTTTTATTAATAACTTCGTTGTCAAAAATGATCATTAAACGTGAATAGTTGGATATTATTCACGTTTGTATGTAATGTAATGATTAATATATGAATAAAATGAGCTAGCCGCCATCTGCAGCTCATATGAGTTTGAACTGGCGAGCTTGAGTTGTCACATACCTACATGATAAAAGGAAAATTTTTTTGTAGTTTAATCTCCTAATGTTTTTTATGCTATTGAAAATATTCCTATATGTCAATTCTTATTTCTATTAATAGCATTGTCGAAATTGTGGTTTAGTTGTTTGTGATGGGTGCTCAAAAAAACGCTTTTTAATTTCACATTTGGATGCAAAACCAGTTCGAGTATGTGACTCCTGTTATGCTAAATTAAATAATAATGATAGCAATGGTAAAAATAATAAACTAATTATCTTTATTATAAATTATTCTCGTTTTCTTTTATATTATAAGACGCACGTCTAAATCAACGTGATCGACCAGCTGATAGTAGTGACAGTGATGGTGATGAAAATCCTCAATATTCTCCAATACCTGTATGAATACTATTTGAATCTTTTCTCAAATCTATTCTCTATGTATTTTTTAGGCGACTTTTTATCAAAATGTTGAAAATCTCTAATCGATTTTTGTTTCTATTATGTCCATTTCAATTGCAATATAACTTAGATGATCATATATTAATAAACATTCCCGAAAGACTTTTATACATATATATATTAATTGATTAGTTTATTGTTCTTTTCTTGTCTTTTTTTTGTTTTAAATTTCGAATGCAACATCACATTTCTTTGTCAATGAATAAAATTAAGCAAACACATATATTTATACTTTTTGAGAATGTCCTATGTATGTGATCTTTCTATATTTTATTAAATGAGATTTTATCTTCTTCTTATTCGTTAATAAAAACAAGAACAAAAACTTGCGCTAAATTTGTTAACATAACAACTATAATTCATTTGATAACATTTTCATTAGTCTTACGTTCTATTCATGGAAAATTATTTTCATATACCAAATGAATTTTCCGATGTTAAAATTTCATTTAAAAATGAAAATGGTAAGATGTATAGAACAAAATTATAAATTTAATTCGTTTCAATTTCTATAGATACAATTTTATATGCAAATAAAGCTATTTTATCGGAAGCATCACCTATAATTAAAGCTTTTTTAGCTATTGAACCTGACAGTATATTTATTATTGATGAAGATGATGAACAATCAATAATAACATCAACAGATGTTAATGATCTTTTAAAATTTATTTATCCACAATTTACAATGAAAATAACTGAACAAAATAGTAAAATTTCTATTCAATAATTGTTATTTTTCTTCTTTTTGTAAATATTCTATTAGTCATTGGACTTATTCATCTATCAGAAAAATATTTAATTGAAACACTTCGAAATGAATGTAAAAAATATGTCTATACATGGTTAAATGATTTAGAATTAACAACTTTTGATGAAAAAAAAGAATTTGTACCAAGACATATTCTCTATAAAGATGGAACACGAAAACATATTGCATCAGAAATAAGTAAATAACTTTTTTTTATAAACGCGCGTAGTATCCTTAACAGTATCTATATCAGAACTAATGTTTGAAATGAATTCTAACTACGAAAGATCCGATCAAGTTAAGTGAGCTCCAAATTTGAGGTTTACGAGTTTTAAGTTTTTCGACAAAGTGTAGCTGTAACTATATGCTTTTTTTCTTGAACATCACTAATCGACACAACGCAGTCCAGAGTATCTTTTCAAGCAATCAAAAACAGATGATCATAGTTTTCAGGTAGAGTTTTTCGCGGAAACTTCGATATCTGTAAACTCCAAATTTGGAGCACACTTAACTTGACCGAAAGATTCAGAGCTGGGCAAAATATTCGAAGTACTCGTACTTGAGGATTTTGCACTGGTACTCGTAGTGGTACTCGATAATATAAATTTTGAAATTTTAGGTAATTATATTTATAAAAATAATGGTTTGTTTTGGTGTACTTTGCAAATATGTACATAGTGTGCTATACAACTAAAAGTCTAGTTTTCTTATTAGATATTTTGGAAGGTCATAATCATCTCTGACATAATCTAATGGTATTCGTACTCGAGAAAGTCCGTACTTACTCAGTCCTGGAAAGATCGAATCATTTCGATGTCTGCTTTATATATATCCGAACAGAATCACATGAATGAGTTCATTCTACTATTTCTTCAAAGTGTATGATTAATGTACGTCTCTGATCAAGTACATGAAACAATCATCGATACTGATCTGCTTAATAGCGAACTTGTAGGTCGGAATGAATTGACCTAGAATAATACTTTACTTTTGAAGTATAATGACAGGCCATTTTTCTCTTGACTTTCTATGAACTTAAGGAACTGTTGTTTCTACTAAACGACCTATGGTTATAATTAAAAATTTCTATTTTGACAACAATATGAAACACCGAATGTCCTCTACTACTTCCACTACAATTACAATTCATATCCTGATTAGACTTTTTATATTGTCGATAAGACTTCCTTGTCCAACAATACAATAACATCTAACGCACTTTACACATTTCTCAGCAGAATAATAACGTGTAATCAAGTTATAATTGACCGCTATAGCAGAATTACTCTGAAAAGATCACACGTTTATTTTCACAGATTTCGATTTTCTATCTATGACTACATATCTTAACTTTATTTGATACCTTTTCTTAGGTACATTATGTGCATGGCTTCATGAATATTCATCGCGTGATGAAAATATTTCATCATTAATTCTAAATATTCTTAAACATGCATCAACAGATGATCTTGAACGAAATGAATTTTTTTTACAAATGACTGATCGTGAAAAAACAACTATATATAAAACAATCAGTGAATATTTAGAACAACAAACAATAATTGATAAAGATTCATCAGGAACTATTCATCATAAACAATCAACTTCTTTAATGTTTGCATCTGGTGACGCTTAATTGTCGAATTGAAATTAGTTTTCTTTTTTCTTTTTTTTTTTTTTTTTGTTTTCATTTGATAAAAGAAAAAGTTGGGGTCATCTAGAGTTCAACTGAAAAAAAAATAATAAAACTTCTAGTAGCATTACTAGAGGAAATTGAATTTTTTTTTCCTGCTTTTGATGGTGGTCAAATATGGCATTGTGCCAACATCTCATTGCTATCTGTATAATCATTCGTCGACAAGGAAAAAATGACCGGCGTCGAAGACAACAACATTGCCCCACCAATACAGACATACGTCTCATTCGATGGTCATTGTACAGAAAGAAGAAAAAGAAAGAAAGAAAGAGAAAGAAAGAAAGCAAAATTTCTTGCTCATTCTTTTCTTTAGAGAAACACTCATACAACTCAACGCTTTCTTATTATTAAGCTTTTATATTTCAAACAAAGTACGTATTTGATTTATTTGTAAAAAAAATAACAAGTAGATTTTATTTTTCTTAATAGAATGAGAAAATAATAATAATAATTAAAAAGAAAAAGAAATCAATGGATAATACTGATCTTCTTCACGAATCATTTGATTATGATCATTTTTTTGGTGAAAATACAGATGAATTTCATACAATGACATGTGTTGAATCAATAAATTCCACAAATGAAAATCTACTAGATTTAAATAATAATAATAATGATACACAAATTAAAAATCGTACAACAGGTAGATTTTGTTTTTTCTCATTTTCATATGAAACAACAACAAAAAAAAAGTGGCTTATTATCCATATAGAAAAAAATCGGATGCAATTTTTTTTTCTTTGCTTTGTCTCGATAAAGGCCAGATGGTGTTTTTCTAATGATGATCATCATGCGATTGATCTTCCCCTCATGCACAGACAATAATCAATAATAAGATATCGTATACTAATCATATCTTGTCGAACATGACGGAAAAGCAATGTGAGAAAATCATCATTAATCATTATATCTTAATTTTACTTGCAAAAAAAGAAAAGATCTATTCATATGTTAATAAAGACTTAAGACAGATTCGAACTATTAGTTTTTACCTTAGGCTCATTTTTAACATAGTACAATCGAGAAGAAATCCGCTTTAGATTTATAAGCATAATCATATAATAGGAAAGCTATTACCTGAATAAATAGTCATGCATGCGTATACTATTATCGAAATTTTAGATTAATGTAGTTGAATATAAGGTTTAAAGACGATTTTGATAATCATATGAAATATAGTCTTTATTAGTTCTGTCAATTCTTGTACGGATATGTCTGTCAATTAGATTTTGAACAGTTAAAATAGATAGACTATGATATCGTTTATATTAATGTGCAATATCTGCATTAAATAAAATCTATCTTACAATTGAGTTATAAACGTGATTTATATCTATAAATGTGAATTTTTCCTTTAGGCAATATTTTAATGGGTACAGATGTAAATGAATATTTCAGCTCTGGGGTTAATATAATCAATGGTCAAGTGATTAAAACTGAAAATGTACCACAATATTACAATGGTAATAC